TCTATGAATATTTCTGTTTGTCTCTCACAACTTGGCTTGAAGAAAGGTGAGACAGTTGGTATATGTTCAGAGAATAGGTTGGAGACATGGTCTGTGGTCGTCGGAGCTGTCTGCGCTGGAGGTGTGATGACACCTTTAAGCATTCGATATGTAAAAGGTAAGTTATGGTGACAGGATTGGCCGCCGGCTTACTGTCTATTTTGTTCGACATCCAAGAATGTGAGCTGGAGCCTAACTGCTGAACCTATATTGACTAATGAGGTTGTCATTCAGTTGTATTCTGTTACAGACGAACTGCGACATGTTATGAATATATCAAAGCCGAAATTTCTTTTTTGTTCAAAACAAGCATACGATAATCATGAAGCTATATTCAAATCATTAGTTTACATTGAAAAGATTATACTTTTCGGTGACGAGAGAGTAGAGGGTACATTACTGTACGAAGACTTGGCGACTATAACACCTAATTCGATGTTGAAAGAAAATGTAAATTATGAAGAATTTGAAGTAGTTGATGTACAAGGTCAGATTGATACAGCTTTCCTGATGTATTCATCAGGAACGACGGGATTACCTAAAGGAGTTATGCAAACGCATCTAAGTGCCCTGGTTGTGTTTAACTTGTAAGTATGGATGCATGTATTTTCATCTCTTTCATTATCTTTGATTAAACAGAGACAATTATATATTTGAATACAAGTATTTGAGCAGTGGAATTTCAAGTTGAAATAATTTATCGACACATTTTATAATTTACAGATCGTGTTTACTAGATCCAACACATATCGTGTTGAACATAACACCCTGGTACCATGCTATGGGATTAATGAGCACGTTTATATATCTGAGTCATGGCTGCAAACATGTCTTTTTACCAAAGTACGAGACTGACTTATATTTGAAGACCATCGAAAAATATAAGGTAAAATACATAAATAGGTTCCTCTACGACATTTTACTATTCGAAGACTCGCGCGACGACTCATCGGGAATATCCTTGTTGAAGCAAGCGAAATATACGAATTTAAAGTACTCAGTGTTACATTCCAGGTGAACTTGCTAGTGTTGGTGCCGCCAGTGTTGATGGCTCTTATCAAGACGTCCTTACAGTACAACCTCAGCTCAGTCGTGGCGATTGTAAGCGCAGGCGCTTCACTTAGGAAGGAAATAAATGCAGCTATTCACGAAAAGTTAGTATCAGTTGCACGAAAGGACTGACTAGTCTGGTGCAATACCATGACCACACAGAAGAAAGTAAAGTGGAAGTAATTCCATGCTTCGTTTGATCAGTGTGCGTCTTGGAGGCCTAATTTTAGTCCTCTTTCCCTTCCCCCTTTTATTATCTTTAAGAATGGGAAGGGGTAGAGGATTTGACGGAGAAGTTGACGCTTAGGAAAGGGGAAACATCCTTTCTGTGCAACCTCTCTTCCGTCGATTGAAGGTAGGCAATGCAATTGCACTGGGCAAGCGAATTTGACGTAATCGCCTATAATTTGGCTAGGCTCCGAGATTAGTTGACGACGACGGCTCGCGGGGCATTGAAGCCATGAGCCGACAGCTGCGACATCAAGGCGGTGAATGCGCGGGAACCATCCAACCACATTAAAAGTTTTTTTTGTATTTCACAGATTTAAAAATCTAAAAGGTATTTGTCAAGGGTATGGTATGACAGAGAGTACATTTCATGTCACCGTGGACACTCTCTTCACAGATGGCACATGTAAGCTCGGCAGCGTCGGTAAAGTTGTACCCAACACGTTGATAAAGGTACTTAGTAGACATAAGTCTTAATTATCTATAATTAAACTAGCTGTCGCCCGCGACTCTGTACGCGCGGGATTAAAAATAGATGTTGGCCGATTGTCAGACCTACTCAATATGCTCACAAAATTTCATGAGAATTGGTCAAGCCGTTTCGGAGGAGTATGGGAACGAAAATTGTGACACGAGAATTTTATATATAAGATATCTGTATTGCCAAATCAGTAGGGTACAATTGTGTACTAGCTTTTAATTAGGAACGACTCTTAGAAGCCTATGCGTTCTTTCCAACTGTGTTCTACATCTTTACGAAACATCGAGATCCATTAAACCATCTTGGAGTTATCTTCTAACAAATATCCAAACTTTCGCATTTCAAATAGTAAGCTACTAATGACATTATTTGTCGTAGATAGCAGACGTAGTCACCGGAGAGCCTCTTGGTCCGCATCAAAACGGCGAAGTGTGCGTTAAAAGTCCTTTAATTTTAAAAGATTACATTGGATTGGATAAAAATTGTTGCTTAGACAAAGATGGCTTCTATAGAACTGGCGACGTCGGGTACTATGATGAAGAGAAGTATTTGTTTATTGCCGATCGATTAAAGGAATTAATTAAATACAAAGCTTATCAGGTAAATATTTTTATTATAAAACATTTCTACATCTTGTTAATATAACTGCGTATCAGTTTGTTAATTCAGTTAATAGCCATTTAAACATCTGATTGTTTCTACAAAAAACATATAAATTCAACCTTCGTTCAATACTTGACCGGGGCCGTCCCAAGGATTTATATCATCCAGATTGATTAAAATACACAAGAATGGCGTTATTAAAAAGACCCGAAACCAACCCTGCATGTATGAACGCGCCAATTGGTATGGAATGGCAAATAGAAGAACTATATTTTTAACTGTAGGTACCTCCAGCGGAGATTGAAGCAGTTCTGCTGCAGCACGAAGGAGTGCGTGACGTAGGCGTGGTAGGGCTGCCGCATCCTGAAGCCGGCGAGCTGCCTGTCGCCTTCGTGGTGCCGCAGCCTGGTGCCAACCCTACCGCAGTAGAACTGCAGCAATTTGTTGCTGAAAGAGTTAGTATATTAAGAAATATACGATACAAATTCCTTTAAATAAGAAATAATTTTAATGGCAGCAGTTTATTAAGTAAATCAGTAAGCCAAACTGTTACCTTCTAATCATCACGAGAATAATACAATCCGAATGTCTCATCATTATACTCGTCATTATGGATATCAGTGGCAATAGAATGGATTAATAGTACTAAAGAGAAAGATTTCTAGGTTAAAGTCTGTTGTATTTAATGTTTATTAATATTTGTATTTTCTTGTTCCAGTTATCAAATCCCAAACATTTAAGAGGTGGAGTACATTTCGTGAAGGAAATATCTAAAACTGCAAGCGGTAAAATACTGAGAAAACATCTCAGAGAATTAGCAATTAATTTACAATAAATAAATATAACTTAAGCATAACTTAAATTGTTTGCGCAAAAATTAACCACAAAAACATGTTTTTGTGGTTAATTTTTCATTTGGGAGATGTTTTTGTAAATGTGTGCAGATAGTGGAAATTCATCCTTAAGTTAGCAAAGTTAGTGATAGTATTGTTTTATGTTATTTCATGTTAGGAATATTTTAAAATTATTATTTTCAATGTATGTTTTGTTCTTTTATAGTAGTAGCTAGAGCTTTTGTTATAGTATAAACAAAACTTCAAGGCAAAATAAATATTTGTTACCGTAGGTTTCTGACATCAAAATTTCTGTATAAAACATTTTCGTCATCACTATCTTTCATCGTTGGCAAAACAGATATGACAAGTTTTAAACAGAGATTTTTGTCTCAGAAACCCACGGTGAATGCTTTGTTTGTTTACTTGATGTTCAGTTGCACTTAAATTATTTTCGCTAATGTAAGTAGTTATTAATAATTGTAAAAAAAATAAAAATATTGAAATATAATTGATAATTCGTTTCCCAGTTCTTATCATCATCAGTACACTATACGTCCCCAATGAGTGGCTCGGGGCCTACTCTAAGTTAAGGGTGACTAGGCTATAGTCAACCACGCTGGCCAAGTGCGGGTAGACTTCACATATATCTTTGAATTTCTTCACAGATATGTGCAGGTTACATCACAATGCTTTTTTTTTTATCTCATATAATATCTATATTGCGACAAACATTTAGCTCGATGAATGAGACGCTATTATAGCAAAAGTCCGCAAAAAATAATGTATAAAAGTTTTCTGATATCTTGGCGGCTCTTAATATTGCGCGAGTAAATGCCCAAAACAAAACTCTAGGTGTAACGGGGTATTGCGGAGAGGGTACCTAACAGCGCGTCAATGACCTTGGACCAGATATATATTTGATAACACTAATGGTACGCGTTCTTTGACCCGCGCCAAACGTACCGCACGCAATGGATTTTAGTTTGCTTTGATTATAAACAGCGCTGCGTCGATTCGTGCCGCCTGCATTTCCTCAAGACAAAGCAAATTGTAACGACAAAAACGATGCGATCCAAAACATTAATAAAACTCACAGGATTGTACTTTAAAGAACTAGTCCAACAAAAACCTTGTTAAACTTTTTTAATCTTGTTAGAGGGGGTTAATTTATTGCAATTTTATTTATATTTAGTATACACTTAGATACATCTGACTATACAAATCAAAGCATTACTCACCTATCAGATATGTAAAAAGTTTAATGCTATTGATCGCTGTACAAAAAAAAAACACCATTTATATTACGATAAAAAACTGTTAAGCATAAATTTCGCAGATATTAAAAACATTTATTGAATAAAAAAAATTAAAACATATCCAGCGGATATTTATAGATTATGATAGCTAGATATGGATAGCTTAACCTGAATTGGCATTCATATAAAAATAATTTATTTATTATGGGTTTTGTTAGAATGTTCCTAGGAAAAATGCATTGTTCAATTTTCTAATCAGCAGTTTGTCGTCTTAAACATCTCTTAATAGTGTAGATTATACAAAGATCCTGTTCCATAAGCACATACTACCGGGGCCCGAACTGAAGATCCGGCTTGAAGGACCATATGTGAAGCGTGTACAATTAAGGTGGTTCTTGTAATTGAACACGTATAATGTTAAAGAGACAGACAAAAAGTAAGGCTAGTATGATGGGTGTTGAAGAGCGCGCGGTGCTGCGGGCGAGCGCTGAAAGGGGCTCTTCGCGCGGCTCCACAGCGAATGACGGTGCAGTAGAACGGAACAACCTCCTTGGTCCAATAAACTTTAAATTCGTTTGCATTTATGCATTAAAAGGAAAAAAACATTTGAATTATAAAAGCTTTTATTTATAGACCTTATTAGATTCTTTGGCCATTGTACAATTCGAGTTATTCGCGCTCACTGTCAAGACGTGCAAAATGTTGAAGCAAGCAAATTGTCTCTATGGACCGGACGACAGCATGATGCCAGTGAGAATAAATTTAGGAAATTTTTTGGTAAAAGGATTCAAGAAACATGGAGATAAAGTTGCAATGGTGAGATCATGATTATTTTAAAACTAGCTTTAGTTCGCGTCTTCGTCCGCGCGGAGTTTACTAGACTATCTGTGCTAATTTCAATACGTACCATGAAAGACCTGCTTTATGTAATATCACAGATGAATGCCGAAACCGAAGAGCAGATAACGTACAATGAAATGGTGCAAGCTGCCATGAACCTCGCCGTGTCTCTGGTGCGTCTTGGAGTGAAGAAAGGAGACGTGGTTGGGGTATGCTCCGAGAGTCGTTTGGAGAATTGGCCGACTGTTCTTGGAATAGCCAGTACTGGCGCAGTTATAACACCAATTAGTACTGCATATATTAAAGGTAAATCTCATATGAGTTTATAGTTGAAGAAGTATGTAGATTTACTTGTTTTAGTTCTGCAATATCTCGTGATGTTATGAAGCCCTTGTCTGCTTGGACATTGTTTTTTATTACAGCTACTCTGTCGATTAACATATGAGACCTTTTCTCCAGTCAGTACTTTACCAAAAAGTCTTCTAAAACTTCTAACTATGGCTTTATAGTAACTAAAAAATTACCTTATCCTCAATTTGTCATTTCTAATTTATGTACTCTGTTTGTGCTATTTTTTATTTTTTAGACGAACTCAAACACGTGTTAAATATATCGAAGCCAGGCTACTTGTTTTGTTCTAAACAAACTTACCAAATGCACGAGGCAGTTTTCAAATCTGTGGAATGCATAAAAGAGATAATATTCTTTGACGAAGAGAGACCCAAAGGTGCATTATATTACAAAGACTTGGCAATAGTTTCTGATGGTTCGATGATCAAAGAGAATGTAAACATAGAAGACTTCCTTGCAGTGGAAGTAGATGGAGTTGCCGACACTGCTTTTATAATGTACTCCTCAGGCACTACTGGACTGCCGAAAGGTGTGATGCTTAGTCATTTAAATATTATCGCTACATGTACAATGTAAGTATTTGCTTCTTGTACGTATGTGTTGTGTTTCGTATTCATTATTTTGTTCAATTACTTCAATTTAAAAAAAAATATTTATAATTTTTCAGGCCAGATATGTGTGATCCGAATTTAAATGTTCTGCAAATAACTCCGTGGTATCACAGCATGGGTGTTATAGCGATGCTTTTGTATATGTATACAGGATCTGAAATTATATTTATGCCGAAATTCGAATTAGATTTTTATTTGAGATCAATCGAAAAATATAAGGTATAGTAACTAAATGTATTTTGTCACATTTTTGTATGGTTCAGTATGGGAGCTATGATTTTATTTCCAACTATTGTCTTCCTTTGTCTTGTGTTTCTTTTATTTCTCTGAGATTGTTAGAAATAAATCATTACTGCGATCATAATTCAATCATCTTTAAGTGATAGGATTTAACAGACGACATCAACCATACCAGCCAATATTGTTTGATAGATTTTGAACCTTTTTAGTTATAATTTACTATTATTTTTCAGATAAAGAAATTACTTTTGGTACCATCTGTTATATTGGGAATGTGTAAAACATCTTTTACATATGACGTGAGTTCTGTTGAAGTTATTGTGTGCGGAGCTGCAGTTCTTCAACATGATACTATCCAAGCTGTGAGATCAAAGTAATTATTTAAAATGTTACGAACACAAATAGTACTGGTTTTGTTCTATTATTGTTAGAAAAAGTTACCTTTTTCTCACTTTTACAGAGTGCATTTGTTTAATTTTTAACCTTCAAAGAGACGTTTTTCTTTGTTTTAATTTTCATTTGTGTTTTTATAACATCTGGTTTTTCCAATATAAGTTTTTAAATATCTTTATTTCACTAAGGGGCTCGGAGTCTACCCTAAGTGATTAGGCCATAGTCAACCACGCTGGCCCTGTGCGTGTTGACTTCACACATATCTTTGAATTTCTTCTCAGATATGTGCAGGTTGCATCACGATGTTCTCCTTCACCGTAAAACATAGGATTAATGTTCTTATGTAAATCGGAAATTGAAAAACACATTGATACATGGCGGGATTCAAACCAAGGACCTCCAGATTACAAATCAAGTGAGCCCTTGAGCCACCGACGCCACTGATATATGGTGATATATTCAAGTAATTTAAATTCTCCGCAATTTGAGTTTATAAAGAAAAACTTGCAGGTTTAAAAACTTAATAGATGTATACCAAGGTTACGGAATGACTGAAGCTACGCTTTTAATATCACTATCATCGTATGTCAATAGACAAAAATGCAAACCTGGGAGTGTTGGCAAGATTAATTATAATACAATTGTGAAGGTAAGTGTCTAAAAGACGCTAAGGATCAGTTCACAGACCACTTTGGTCAATAAGCCAAATGTGGTCTTTAACGGGCCCACAAATTAACTAATAAAAATAAAAGATACCAAAAAAAAATTGTGATGACGAACTTGACATATCAGTGACACTGCTGAAACAGCTTAAAAAAACTTGGCTGTTTTATCGTTTTAATAGATAAAAATATGGTATTATGTTCTTGTAATCATGTTTCGGAGGTGGACCAAAATGAATATTGTAATTGATAAAAGTAAACATTATTTCTTGTTATAGATTGTAGATGTAGAAACAAGGAAACCTTTAGGTCCTTATGAATCCGGAGAAATCTGTTTTAAAAGCCCGTCCGCAATGAAAGGTTACATAGGAAGAGACAAAAGTGAAGATTTTGATGATGAGGGCTTTTTGAAAACTGGTGACATCGGATACTATGATGATGAAAAATATTTGTTTATTGTGGACAGATTGAAAGAATTAATAAAATACAAAGGTTATCAGGTAAAGATTTTTTTTATTTGAATACAAGTAAATGTATGAAGACGTAGTAGACCGTTTCATTTTTATTTGA